CGCCGATAATAGATAAAAGCAAACTTCTTCAGCTCGATACATTGTATCAAGTCATTACTACGTTAGAAACTCTACTATTCATAGACAATTTCGATCCGAAAATTTTCGATTTACCACCCGCTCAGTGGTCGCGCGGATGTCTATGTACAGAATTATTGTCCAATGTATTGGACAAAAGTGACGACGAACAGACTGCATTTTATCACTATCTTGCACAACTCGAAGAATTCAAACAGTATCATCTATGTAATGTTGAACGAGATGATCTTCTGAAGGCTCTTATTCAAAAGCAAAAGTGTTCATCTTTGGAACTCTCGAGAATAATCGAATCTCTATTTTATCTTCGAACGGTTACCTCACAAACCCTAAATATTGTTCAATCCAATGACTCACTATGGTTTGACAGTCTGAAAAGATGCTATGTCATAGAAAAAGTTAACTATTACTGCAATGATTTCGTCAATTCAGAAGCTATTATGAATTATCTCGTTGATTGGCTTTCGACGGAAGACGTTTTGCCTTATGATTTGATTGAGTCATTTCTATTACTTAGATTTGAACCAGATGAAATGCTGATGCTAATTCAGTTCATGAGGAAACAACAAATTAACAAGAACGAATTAAGACAAACATTTTCTCAAATACAATATGATGCTGCATATCATACCTTCAAAATAGATTTGGAAATGTCTGTTCTGGCAAGAATTCTATTCAAAATGTGGAAAGGTTCAAATGCTGAACTCACACTTGCCGAATTTTATCTAAAGAAATTATTGACAAGCGGTTGGGCATTCAATATAATAAAGGATTTACTAGCCAAGGGACAGACAGAAAGTTTATCAAAAAACCCGAGAGCTTTTCTCGAAGTTATATTTATGCTATATCGATACAGAATGAGTGACAGTTTTGTTCAGATCCTTGACGATGCCCCATTGCTCGAAAATCCGTTGAGCTATACGCAGTATGTGCACGATAAGATCATCGAAGATCGTTTTGAACCAGAAAGCTCAGAGGAAAGTTCAGAGAAATGTCTGGAAACGCTTTTGCAAGAAATTCAAAAGGGTAACACTAATAACAGTTCGGTTAATACAGAAAAACTACGCGATGCATTTCTCTCGGTCGAACATGCATATAAGCAGGCATCAACTGTGGTCAATAATGAAAATCCGATTAAAAACTGGCAAGAAGAAGAAATAAGAAAATGGACTCAAAGCATCACACGAGATTGGGCCCTTGAGCCGATGAATCTGCCGAGTATCGTTGCAGTAATCAAGCGTGCTGTGAATTTGCACTCACGTTACGAATTGCGATCGATCCAACTGTTGACTATCTTGCTTGTGTCCGATGTAACAATGCCATGTGGGCGTCTTTGTCAAGTTGCGACTGGCGAAGGAAAATCCACAACTGTAGCCGCTTTAGCTACTATTAAAGCCTTACAAGGATATTCCGTTGATATCGTTACGAGTTCGATTACACTAGCGAAACGAGATGCGCATGAATGGAAAAAATTCTACAACATTTTCAACCTCACTGCTTCACACAATAATGACGACAGTAATTATGTTACCGGCTTTAAAAAGTGTTACGATTCGCATATCGTTTATGGAGACTCAAGTCAATTTCAATTTGATGTACTTCGACATGAATTTAGACTGTGTGAAACTCGTGGCAAACGCCAATTTGATTGCATTATTATTGATGAAGTGGACAGCATGATGATCGATGAAAATAGTACGATTGCCCGATTGGCTGATCCGCTGCCTGGTATGGAGTGGCTGAGTTGTTTACTCTACTGCATTTGGAGACTTGTTAACAGAGACGAAGAATGTGAACTGAACGAAGATATGATCGCTGAAAAAATTGAGACGCTACTTCGAGATCCAAACTTTTGTTTAAAAGTTCCAAATCATTTGCTCGATTTTACTCTAAACTCCCTATGTGTATGGATCAAAAATGCGTTTTTAGCAAAAGATGAGTACCAACTCGACCATCATTACATAATCAAAACCGATGCGACGAATATCAAACGAATTATTCCGATTGATTTTTCAAATACGGGTATCATACAATGTGGTACAACGTGGAGTGATGGTCTACATCAATTTCTCCAGATGAAACACCATCTAAAAGTGACACCACTCAATGCAACTACAAACTTTCTTTCAAATGTCGCCTTCTTCGGTCGCTATAAAAAGCGTTTATATGGTTTTACTGGCACACTGGGATCAGTAGATGCCAAGATATTCCTTTGTAAAATCTATCCTGTCGATATAGTAATCGTTCCACCTTCCAAACAAAAGCAACATATTGAACTGTTGCCGATTTTAACGGAGTCGCACGATGAATGGCTTGAACAAATCGTATCTAATACAATAGCAGATGTGGTAAGAAACCGAGCGGTACTGATTCTTTGTGAATCGCGACTCGATGTCAGGGAAATCAAAGAGAAATTACGCCATCGCCATCCGTTGGGTTGTGTTCGTACATATACCGATAACACTAACATAACAGAATCGAATCTCGTAAGCAACCGACTAGAATCAGGAGATATTCTTATTGCCACAAACTTAGCTGGACGTGGTACTGATCTCAAAGCAAGTGATGAAATAGAGAAAAATGGTGGCATACATGTCTGTCTCACATTTCTGCCGGATAATTTACGGGTTGAAGAGCAAGCAATTGGTAGAACATCGCGTCAGGGTCATCGAGGAACATCTCAACTGATTCTCGACCGACAACGAACTCAATCACGATTGATGAGTTTATATTCGCATTATACGAACGATGAGAACCAAGAGACGTTTCTCGATGAATTCAATATGATGCGCGACTGGCGACAAAGGTCTGAAAGTGCTTATCTCAGCCGCGTACAGGAAAGAGAAATAAGTGAGGTTAGAAAAAGAGATGATTTATTTCAGCAATTTTGCACTCTTCTAAAAGAATTATGTACACAAAACGATAACGTCATGAAGCAGTCGAGTGTTCGAGAACGATGGGCTCTTTGGCTGAAAAACATGGACAACCGATTGCAAAGTCAGGCTTCATTGCAAGAAGCTATTAAACGTGTTGGATATCAATATGTCAAAAATGATCAAAAGCAAAATAGTTTCTTTGAAGCGATTAGCGATCAAATGCTGCCAGCGTTCAAAACAACAAATGTCATTTCTCAAGTCATACATCATATTCTTCACAATATTGAACTCTACGAAACAATTATTTCGAGACTTAAAGTAAATATCGACGTATTCTGTGAGTATGAGATCGAGAGGTTACGATGTTGGGCCACGAGTCGTGCACTGAATATCAGTCTTGTTGTTTATCGCAGTGGCCAGCACAAACCTGATGTCTACAAACAAGCAAATGCCGTATGCACTTGTTTGTTTGCTTGGTCGCGTGATACTCATTATCATATTCTTGAATCCGTCCACAAGGCGTCTTCCAATGAAGACCTTTATCTTATGAATGCTAAGAATGATTCGACCGAATTCAGAACAGGCGCCGAAAAGGAATCTCTTGATGACAAGATGTATCGAAAACTTTACACGAAAATACATTGCATTTTTTCCATGAAAAATACGGATACCGATCTTCAGTCTGCCTTCGACAAATTTAGTCAGAATATCCGAGAAGAATTTTCTACCGATAGAATTATTCAAAACCCTTATTATTTGATTGCTGAAGCCGAAACTATTATTGCAAAATTGACTACATGGACGAATTCTATACAGAGAAATGTCGAATGGGTCCTGCCTTTAGAGAAAAATGTTGAAATATGTGCTAAAGCCATGGGCTGTTTGAAGAAAGCTATAGAACTTGATCCCATCTTTTCTTTTCCTGCGTACGTTTATCGCGCCTTTTTGATTCTTCACGAACGACAGCCATCCAAAACATACAAGACCGAGGGGAAAGAATACTTGTTGAAAGTCCAACATAAGCTCAATGAGTACATTCTACCGATGCTCCAGAATATGTTACTGCTAGTGGAGAAAAGCGAAAATCTCGATCACAGTACGGATGATTTCATCAAACAACAGCAAATGAAAGTACATTTGATGGACATTTACAGGAATAGTATTGAACATGCTCATTCAGCGATTGAAACATCCCAGAAATTAATTGACGCAATAACGACAAATGGTAATGAAATTCGTATCAGAGAAAAGTTGAGTGCCAACGACGACGCATCAAAGTTTCTCAATGATGTATCGAATGAACTACGTTTTCATGATCTCACAGTCACTAAAGATATGACGATTAAGTCTAATCAAGTACACGACTTGCTAAAGCTTTTGCCTGATAATTTCAATGGTATTTCAATTGTGTTCTCTGAAATCACGACTAATCTAAGTAAGCTTCTTGCAACTGAACCAAACCAGTGCAAAGGGATCGAGTTGACCCTTGATTATTTGGACGCTAACGAAGTACGAGAACTGCTTTCAACGGAGAATAACGAGAATATCACATTGAAGCTAACTGGAAATGTTCGAGACTATCTTACGGCTATTCAGGGCTGTTCAAATACAATTATAATAGATACAGGAGATGATACGACAATACGACGACAACAAATTCCGTTCAACAGAGCAGACCAATATATAATGGAGTGTGAGAAAGATTTAAAATCTATCTCATTTCAATGCATAAACAAGCGGTTGGTTATGACAATTGTTAATGCTGTTAAAAATGTTGTGTTCGGCATGACATATAACATAGCCCATATTTCGAAAGTGGATACCCTTCTGGAAAACCTCAGTGAGAAACCGATTTCCATTCGTTTAAAAAACCTTGATAAACACAGTGTTCCAATTTTCCTCGAAAAAGTTTCCGAACAAAATTTCAATTTCGTTGTCAGTCTGAGTGGTCTCAAAAAAAAGGAAGGTCTTCACTTATTACAAAAGTTCAATAGAAAAGAACAAGATGTAGCGATCAATTTGAAGAATATGATCCATTGTTTTCCAATGACTGACGCACATGGTGAAGAACTGAGCTATTATAAAGATATGGAAGTGAGTCAAATCATTTTAGTCAATGAATTGAATCCTCGACCATTACTTTCTGTCGCCACGTTGACTACGCTTGGAGTTGCTCAAATCGTTATCGGAGTTTATCTGGCTGCTCAAACCGCAGGCTTAGGAACGAGTACCGGAATTTCATTGATTGCGGAGGGTGTTAATGATATTTATTTTGCTGTACATGGCGCTTGTGCTCGTCGTATTTCTTGGAAAGGCTACACGATTCAAAAATCTGTCAGCTTGGCACTGTGCTTTATACCACCTGTTTTATCGACCATTACTCAAGCAACACAAGCAGCGAAACAAGCAACAAATGCAACTGGAGTACGATTAGTCAAAGAGACTTTAAAAACCACGAAAAGTCTAATTTCAAAAGGGTTCAGAACTGCGACGTCACAGACAATTCAAGGAGTAGCGTCAGCGAGTTTGAAAACGGCTTGTAAACAACTTACCGCAAGTTGTATTGAAACAGGGCTTCGAGAGTTGATCAATATTTCTGTGGATAGCATTATTGACCGTTACATCATACCACATCTCAAAGATGGCATCCGAAAAGAAATTGAACCTCGGGTGTTCAGTAAAGAACAGAACAAAGACTACCGACGAGTTTTATGTCGAGCTATATCGATCGATGCTTCCAATAAGAATAGTCAGCAGCTTAATAAACTGGAAGAACTTGCAGCAAGAACTTTCATCCAGCGAAGGAACGAATACCTAGAAGTGGCTCAATCACTGGTAAAGAGTATGTCGCATATTCTGACGAGTCATGCCGAAGAATTAATTAGGGTTGTCAACAACAACAAAAGCAGCTGTGCAGGTACAGGCGTTCAACTCGCAAAAATAATTCTCTTATTGTGGCCATTGATACTTGCTGGTGTTAAACTGTATGCAGTTGTGGACAAATTCTTTGAATCTTTTCTACAAGAACTCAGGCAACTTCAACCAACAATGCCTGTTTGTGAGTCGTTTCTTAACTCTCTTTCTGAGGACGAGCTAAATCAAATATTCGAACTTCTGAAACAAGATGATATTCCCAATTCTTATGGACTTTCTAATACGTCGACTCTTTTCGGCTTACCTCTGTCTGAATGCAGCTCCACAGTACAGGAATCACTCAACAGAATGGTTCATGGGCTTAACATGCTTCATCAAAATATTAATGATATACTGACGGATGAAATTGTCGCCATTGTTCGTGGGATGATTTTCGCTCCTTTTTTAAATCATGTTATTGGAATAGCCATCCAAAAATTATCCAAACACGTTCAGGAAAGCATCGATAAAAGCGGTACGTTTCGCCAGCAGCTATTAGAAGAAGCGGCTCAGCGTGCAATCATTATCGAATCCGATGATCTCTACCGAGAGATGCAAAGTGGTCGAATTTCAATTCCTCGAGAAGCATTTGCAAAATTGCGCGAACTCCAAAAGAGGGCCTCGAATGGTTCGATCGAAAATTTTAACTATGTTGAAACCTTAGCGCTAAATGTTAGCACCGACAAGCCGGGTAGTGTCATTGAAATCTCAGTGATTGCCAACCTTTCACGCATGCCGATTTCTATTGTTCAGCAAATAGTAGGAGGTTCGAATGGATCTAATGAGCACATTGAATTGAAATACATTCCACCACAAGAAGATGCTAATACAGGACGGATCACTGATGGTCATTATGAATCCGTCGGTGCCAATGCTTACCAAAAAGGTAAAAACAATTGCCTGTATAGCGCATTTCTGAAAGCAGCACCTGGCATATTTAAATCTGAGAAAGATATGCGAAAACAAGTTGCTGCTTTTATTCTTTCGAACCCCGGGTATATACAAAAGATTCTCCCTGCAATCAATGTTATTAATTCGAATGCAAATCTTTTACGTAGAAAAGCATTGATGATGGAAGGTGGTACTAATAACGACTGGTCGCTGGAAAAAGGCAAACTCGCCGATTTAATAAGTAGTGTAAAAAGAAGAGGAGCTCAGATTAAAGACAAATTAAATGAAATCTTAGAGTGGATTCGTCAAAACCCTGAATATCTCGATTATTTCGATTTAGGCATTGATATGGCAGTGGCGATTTTCCCCGAACTTTCTTTTTTAAACTGCGGTCACTTCGTCACCGCAGGGTTGCGCTTGATCGTGGCTATGAAGGACGCTGTCAATGACATCAAACAGTTATCCAATGACGTTTCGAATAAGAACGTAAAGAAAGTCATATATGATCTGATAGAGTTGGGCTTTATCGTGGCTTCTATAAAATGTACCTCGAGATCTTTGGATCGCGGTAAAAGTGACCCTAGGAATCTACAACGGCAATATGAAAAGCATTGCGGCCCAGGCAAGGATTTTCCGAACATTCAGACACCGAAGCAATACGTGGAAGAGGCTGAAAAGTTTTATAACAGTCTAGACACTGTGCGCTTCCTCAACACTAGAGACAATCAACTCATCCAGTTCAATCCTTCAAATGCCTGGACAGCAACTGAAATCCTCATTACTGGATTAGACGGCAAATTTATAACGTTTTTCAAGCCGGAATTAAAATATAATCCAGAAGAAAAGAAATCATTTCAAATGTAAGCAACCTCGAAAAAAACTGGCTACGTTCATAGTAGCAATAACTTGTACAGAAAGAAAATCCCCTAGACGAGTTTTGAAAATCGGCACAAAAATTCCTACCGCATCTTGTTCAAGGAGGAAGGGAGGATTTTTTAGCTCGAATTAACTTTGAGCTACTTTGAGTTATTTCGGGGTACTTTATACTACTTGGAACTACTCTAGATTGTTCGAGTATAATACTTTGCTGTACTTCTCTACTTTAAGTTCACCCTTTCTCCTTCATTCTGTTTGACATCTTAATCTCTCAGAGACTACGCTAAAAGCTGTTTTAGGGTACTAATTTTTCGTGCTCTTTGGGAAGATCCAATCAAAGAAGGGGGACGCATAACAGACCCTTTCGGTCCAACAGACTTGTTTCGATTAACTCCCATAAATCGTATATGGTTTGAAAGTTCGTAGTGATATTAAGATTTTCCGACTGAATTTTCGAAGTCAAAAATGATGACAAAGAACCACAGTTTCGTCAAACATTTCGAAAATTAGCTCCGTCAGAGTAGGTTGAGTCTTACACAAACTACAGCATCAAAAGCTGTTTCAAATGAAATTTGCGTACAGCTTTTCTAAACAACTTTAAGATCATCAATAAATCAGTGAATGACACAGTCATTGAATAAAGAGAAAAGTTAGTATAAACTGCAACACAATATTCAAATAGGCTCATACATATCATCAGTTTGCGTGTTCTAAGAGAGATTAAGCATGAAACTTTCAGTAGCCAAAATCCTAACTGTAACAAATTTTGAATGATGGTATATTTTATTTGTTACTGCTGCAGCTTTTATATTATTTATTGTTTGCGATCACAAAGAGAAACTGGATGAATAGCGTTACCGCTATTCTTAGTGTACATGTTATATGTTAGTTAAATTATTCCATGATACACTTCTCCGGTTCTGTTCCAGTTCTAACATTTAATGCAATGTACTCACCTTATATACGCGCACACGAGAGAGAGAAAATAATAGAAAAAGATATGATAGGCATACGCACATTAATTAGATTGTGTTCAGAGATTTCATCACGTTACATAAGAGCAGATGACTAACATTAAGCAGTGAACCATAAAAGATTGATGAGATTAAAGAGTTACACAACACCTATGGCATATTG